ATTGAAAAATGACATATTTCAGCCAGTTTTGTTTGTATGTGTGCATAAACAAAATTCCCTAATAGAGGAGCAAAAACAAAACACTAAAGAAGGGCAAGGCGCCCTTCCACCACAGCTATGTGAGAAAAAAATGTAAAAAAGAAAACACAGCTTTTGCACAATGGTCAGTTCTATAATGTTTTCTGCTAGTGACAGTCTCCCAGCTCCCAAGTAAGGCCATAATATTTTGTCTAAAATCCTAAATATCGATTTAGCACAGCATTCAAGCTTCTTCACAGAAATTCAAGATATAATGGTAATGATATAATAATAACACAACCTTACATCTGAAGTGCTTACAATTTTCAAAGGTTTTTCACATCCATTATTTAATTTGATCCACACAGTAGCTCTAAGGGAGGCAACTGTAATGTGACATTATAGCTAAAATGTTTTACCTTTAAAAACCATTATAGTGAAAGCTCTACAATTCATGTCCAGAGGAAAACCGGAGTATAAAAATTTAGCCTAGAATGGTGTCCCTTCGTACCCATTTATAAATTGAGAGGGATTTTCAGATATATAGTTAAGTTCACACCAACGTGGTCAGAAAAGTTCGAGTAACAAACTTTCTACTTTTGATAAAACCATTTCATAATCTACTACCTAACTCTGATTAGTCATTAAAAGTTTCTTCATGAGTAAGAAAAACCAAGGCAAAGTCTTTCAGGAGAATGAGAGGGACCACTTAATGTATTTACATCTGAGCAAATTGTTCCATAAGAATTCAAGTGATGGTGGAGCTGAGAAGCCACATACAGGATCATGAAGTAACCCAGAGATTAGCAGAAGAGACTATCCCCTAAGGCTGGACAAAGGGAGATGACCTTGTGACCTAAGCCCAGGGGCTGAGGCACCTGGAAGAAGCTGGAAGCCTTAGGGAACAGCAGCTAAATAGACACAAGGTGCTGCTTAAAGCAGAAAAAGTGAGGGAGAAATATACTGGATTTCTCTCTTCTGCCCACCTCCAATCTCTCCCTAGTGCTTCTTAGTGGCCAATCTTCTCTGTCAGCCAGAGGCACAGGAATCAGCATCAACTCTTAGTGATGCAGGGGACCATGTGCCAAATAAGCCCAGGGCATGCTTAGAAACTGGGAAATTTTTGAGTGAGGAAATGTTTCCTATTTAAATCTAACAGCTATAGGCTGTGGAATAAATACCCCTGTTCCAAAGATTCAAAGCAAATACTGACCTGTATTCTTACAATGGTATCTCTAGATTAAAAAAAAAAAAAAATAGAATCGCAATCCAAAATTTAAACTATGTTTCATAGTCCTCAAAATGGCTTGAGAACTAGGATACCTCCATTTTCCTCCCACCTGCTCCATAGCACCTAGTGGTTATTTGCTTTATGTACACACCAAATATCAACACATTGTTTTCTCAGTTATTGAAGGTGAATGACTTAAGTGCTAATGACAATTTTATTCTTCTTAACCTTAAAGCACTTTGAGGACATGGAGGTCTGGAGCCATTGTGAGGATTTCTACGGTAAGAAAATAGTAATTACCCCATCATTGTGGAAACTAAATCTTTTAGAAACTAAAATGTTCAGAATTGCTTATATAGTTTAGAAGATGGAAGACCACACATTGAAAGAAAAAGAAGGTAATACTAGGCAGTAGAAAAGGAAAGTTCATGCATTTATCAAATTTTTTTATACCCAATAAATAATTGGGGGTTAGCTAAACAAAGTCCCCTGGAGGCTGGAACCTTTTCTGCTAGCACTGCCTTCAGGGTTGGGGAGCCTCCCTCTTTCTTTGTTGCCTCCTGCTTATTTGAGTAAACACTTCCACACACACACACACACACACACACACACACACACCCACTCCTTGGCTTTCTTTTCCTCTCCTTCAAATCTTGTTTTTCCTTTGCCTTCTCTTTTTCTTATGAATATCACATCTTGTGCTACAACTGACAGCTTTTACCTTCTCTTTTTCCCACTCCACCCCACTTCTCACCATGGCAATTTGTGAATACCCACCCCTCTGGAGGAAACTTCCCGAATTAATATGAACATTTTTATTATATCCTTGGAAGGATCCTGATGCACCTGGCCATCTTCTGCTGATCCAGCTTCCCAAGCTGGATGTTCCTGTGGCTGCCATCTTCCTTCTCACGCAGAGGGGGAGACGACTCAAGTTGAACTATTGATCCCCTCTTTATGTAGATACTCCAGTCACCTTTTGGCTTTTTCTCTAATGTCAGGACATCATCTCCCCCACTAGTTGTCCCTATGGATACAGTCCAGCAGAACTGATAACTCGACCTGACATTGCATCACTCTGCTAATAAGGAAAGCACCACTGACTTTATCTGCATGGCCCACAGTCCTGTCTCCAAAATTTGCTAGTTCTGTATACCTATACTTTATCCATTTCATGTCTTTATTCACCATAAGACCATGTGTCTGTTAAGGGTTAAAACTGACTTTAAAGTTGTTCTCCTGCTAATGTCCAGACACATTACTGTCTCTTTTAGACAGCATAAAATTGATCAGGACAGAAACATTCTTTTCCTAGATGTGCTATGCACTTGCTCTGTAACCTTGAATAAATGACTTTACTTCAAGGATTATAACAACTTATCCATTGCACAGAGGTGTTGTGAAGATTAATTAATTCATGTTTTTAAGGTGATTTGAGGATCTACTAATGAAAGATGCTATATAAATGCTAATTTTTATTATTCATTCCCACATCTATATATTCTCTTTCAGCTGTCTCCTAAAATGGTCACCCATAAGCAATTACTATTAAATTCTCTTAAAGAATGAAAATGAGGACCTGAATTTTCATTCTGAATCCTGAATTTTCTTCCTTTTCAAGATGTAAGCCTTGTGATCTCTAAGTCATTTAAATGTAGATCTTTTGGCTGAATCGCAGTTATATATGATGCTTATAGTTAGTAATAAGGATATGGAGATTTGGAAAAATTACAAACCGAACAAAGCAGCACTTGGAAATTCAGTCTATTGTTCAAGCACACACAACCTGTACAATCTCAAACCTGGAAGGGTTTTTAGGCTTTAGATGTAAAGCATTTTTATAATAAGCAAAATATTTTAATATAATTCCATTCTAACCCCTGTAGCACAATTTAAAGAGCCATTCCATATAGAAGACTCCATACGATCATTATGATTTTCAAGTAGTACATCAGAATTATGATTACTTAGGATGTTATACTATTATATGAACACTCACAGAAAATTGTTTTGAAACTTTTGTGATTTTATATAAACATTATGTAGCTTGTGCTTATGTAGTCATTACTGTAGTAATGCTAGTCTCTGGGATACCAGTTAGACACAGAGAAATAGTAGCTATTCTGTTAATTGAGAAAGATGGAACACTTTTGTCTAGTGGGAGCTCCTGCCACTCTAGAGTTAATTTGGCCTCACTGCCCCTATTCTTTTGGTTCTTAGGGATGGTTCTTCTCAGAAACCCCATTGTATTTAAGGTTGATCTAGAATCTAGGGATTTATTCTGATCCCATTCACTTTCCCATTTTAGTCTAGAAGTTCCTTGGTCCAGTTGGGGAAAAAAAATCTCAAAATCATACCACTCACCAAGTTACTCTAGCCTTACAGGATCTCTCTTCATGTTGATGTAGTAGAAGGAATGGCTTTGTGAGGAGTAGGGATGTATAATTGTCTCTGGGCACTTTTGAACACTAGAACATACAGTGCTCATCATATATCTGATGGAAAGGGGAAGCAACCAGTTCTAGTATCTTTCTCTAACTAGTGTCTTATGAAATGATCTAGAATATTAAAACAATTGGTAAGACATACAAAAGAATGCATGTATTGCATTATATGTTGAACATATGTAATAGATCAGCATTGTATACTGAACATATGTAATAGAATACATGTAGTTTACAGCAAAATTTCAAGAAACAAGATATAAAAGTCACTTATAAAACAGTGATATGATGCATGTCATAAAAAAGCAAGACACATTCCTTAGATCTTATTTGATTAACTGAAATAAATTATGAATGATACTGCTAACAGTTGACTACTCTGTACTTCACTTTATGAGCAAAAAAGAAGCTGAGGGGAATATGCTTTTTTTTATAAAAGCCATGTGGTTGGACCTGAGAGTCCTGACTCTTAACCTGATCAATGTACATCCCTCCTGAGAGTTCACAATTTAAGATGAAAAGTTTTAGTGGTCATCATTATGCAGGAGCTAAGATCACAACATTTACTCTGAAAGATATTGACCTAACATAATAATAGAGTTTATAATTAGTGTAATGGAAGACCCCACAGAAACATTCCAATTTTGGTATTTCTAATGGATGCTCTTATACAGAAAACCCAGATTTGGGTTTGAGTTTGTAACGCCATCCAGGAACTACTTCAACCACGAGAAAGATCTCCAGTACCTGACAAACATCAGGAGGATCTTCTATTTTTTCTATTGAGTGCTCTACTTGGTTCCCATTCTGAAAGAATTATGACTGATAGTTATCCTTTTAATTATAGAGGACTCCTTTTAAAAAATTTTTCTTACATTTATTTATTTTTTGAGAGACATAGAGAGACAGCACAAGTTGGGGAGGGGCAAAGAAAGAAGGAGACACAGAATCTGAAGCAGGCTCCAGGCTCTGAGCTGTCAGCCCAGAGCCCAACACGGGGCTCAAACTCACAAACCATGAGATCATGACCTGAAGTGAAGTCAGACACTTAACCAACTGAGCCACCCAGGCGCCCCTAGAGGACTCCTTTTTTAAAACGTGATCTTGAGAAAGGTCATTCTGATGTACTACTGGAAAAAAAAAAATGTCTAGAATCTTAATCCCAACATGCCTAAAATATTTGTGTGATACATAACTGTAAGAGGTAATATGACTCTTTTCATGTGACTCAATCCAGTGTCACATGAATCAATTTATCAAATATCAACTGTTTAAAATATCAAGGAAAGGTTTATTCTGTTGCTTACCTCTAATGAACTCATTGATATCGTTGACCCAGTTTCACTTCTTGATAGTCCTGCATTATCATCCAACTCAGAGGCCATGAAATTCTTCACAGCTGTGCGAGGCTCAAAGGGCAAATTCTGCATATGTTCCTGGGGTGCAAGGTGTTGATCTAAGTTCATATTGAACTGGTCCATTACAGGGGGATTCATGTTGAATTCAGGATTCACTTTGTAGTGCAATAACCTTTCATGTGGCAAGGTTTCCATACCAATATTCATTTTGCTTTCCTCTTTCATTGATGGCTGGGTATTTACAGAACTTCTGGGCATCACAATATAGTCACTTTCCATCATTCTTTCTTGAGGATGGACTATATCCATATCAGCTCCTCTCAAATTGTCATCCGTACATAAGTACACAGTTCTTCGCAATTCACTGTTCTCTTTTTTCAAACACTGATTGCCCAGCTCATTCATACTCATGGGCATGTGCATACCCGTGGGTTGCTGGATAATGACTTTGGAAATGACGTTTCCAGGCAGTGTTGAATAGCTTAGCCCTTCAGGGTTTGTTCCCTTTTCTTCTTCATCATCATTTAGAGAAATCCTAGAGAGTGTTCCTGTTATTGTTGCTGCTCGGCAAGGACCAATATCCTTGTGAAGAACTATAAGTTAGGATATAAAAATTCAGAAAAGACAATGTGTTTTTATTTTTTCACTGCTGTATTTTGCTATCTCTCTACTAAATAATTTCCTTAGTAAACAAAAAAACAATATTTAAAAAACTGTGTATCTATTGTTTGTAGATGGTCCAGATTACTCAACCACTCTTCATTGATTCTGATAGGTAGTCCATAACTAAAACATATCGGAAAGTTGATTAATGGACTTTCAAAAATCTCAGTACCCTATTCTTACACAACTCTGCATAGCTTTTTAGGGAAAAGGCAGATTACCATGGAAGTTTCTCCATCAATCTATTGCAAAGAGTTTTATGAAATTATGGATATGTTCACATGAATTTGACTTTTTCTCAAGGCTTTTCCCCTAAAGAATTCTGCAAGTTCTATTCATTAAAATACTTCTTGAGAGAGGTAATCAATGAGAATTTCATCCTACTGCATCAAAAATTCCTCTAAAATTATGCATGTTGAAAATTAATGAGCATTTATCTATGAAGTCCATATGGTCAAGGTAGATACAGGGTTCAAAAGTATTTATCATCTTCAGTTCCATGTGGGAAAAAAAGAATTCCTTTACAAGATCAATCCATATGCTCGAATGCCCTTGAGGGGGTATTAAAATTGCCACTGACTTTAAGCAGGAAAAACTGTATGAGTCTCTGACAACTCTATTCAATTTTAAGCTTGAAAAATAATGACTTAGAAAAATTAAAAATGCATGCTAACTTGTACTAAGAGAGGGGAAAAATGAAACCAAACCAAGCCAAAATAAACCAACAAAAGGTTCAGAATTTCTGATTGAAATATATTTTAGTTTTTTTCTTTTGTTTCTATATAAGAAGAAAGTCATATATTATGAGTAATAGCAGCAGAATGACTTGAAGCACGCTTAGTTGTAAACGACTGTCAGTTTTGAGGTAGGAAAGAATGAAATTCTAAAAAAATATTCCTGGTAATTTTGGCATTGAAAGCACACAGAACACAAATGCTGTTCTATGTACAAAGCAGAACAATTGTCAATGAAAATGTCATTAGGCATAGATAACTACAAAATATTTGGTTTGTTGTTTCCTCATGAAAAGTTTCAGATATACTGAATTTTACCCATTGTTATCCAATTTTCAAATAGCATCATAATTATGCATTAAAGCAGAGGTTGAAAACAGATCATGAATGTCTTTCCCCACTATAAAGAAGCCTTCAAAATTACTGCAAAATATGCATCATTCAAAAAAAAAGCATCATTCATGTAATCTCTTTTATCTTTTGAGATACTGTATATAATTATTGTATTAGGTCTCTGTTTCAGACACTAAAAATCAAGTTAAACTTACATCTATATATTTTTTTAATTTTTTTTTTGAAGGAGAGAGAGAGAGAGAGAGAGAGAAAGAGAGAGAGAAACAGAGCATGAGCGGGGGAGGAGCAGAGAGAGAGGGAGACACAGAATTCGAAGCAGGCTCCAGGCTCTATGCTGTCAGCACTGAGCCCGATGCGGGGCTCGAACTCACGAACAGGGAGATCATGACCTGAGCTGAAGTCAGACGCTCAACTGATTGAGCCACCCAGGCGCCCCTATATATTTTTTATTAATCCACAATTTGGTTGTAACTTTTTGTATTTATTATATAAAAAGGTAGAATCATTTAGTTTTAAAAAGTTATTTCTAAACCTCTTAATAGATCAGTGATAAACTGTGGTTGCTAGGAACAATTTGCATAAAAACATTAATGGGCAAAGTATGTTAAATTAATAGAGTTAATGACATTCTAAATAAAATACTTTTAAAAAAATCTCTAAATTTTTAATCTTAACTATATGTAAAAATTAATCCAAAATTTATAGAAATACAATTTAAAGGCAGTTACAGGCACATGTCTTTTGACATTAAGGACATACAGATAATTTTATACTTTTATGAATATATTGTAAACTATAAGTGAAACTTTGGTACTGAATACTGATTTTATGATCTGTATTTGTACAAGCTACATTTAGTTTTGTATCAGTTAATACCATTTGTAGTTCTACTCACCACATTTTTATCAAATGACACAGCTATCTTTACTGAAAAATTCTTCTTATGAAATAGTGTCTACTCGATATGAAAGATAGGTCTTCCTCTTAGACTTACTTAAAATAGATACCCAAATTTTGGAGAAACATAAACAAATGCATACCACCTACACATACAGACATGATGTTGAAGGGATAGGACTTTGACGAGAAATTAACTAAGTTGTGAAAGGCAAAACCCAAACACGGCACAACAAAACAAAAAGTACCTAAATATTTTGCATTATCAGATATATATTCTACCTTTTGGGAAAGTGAATTTCAACATAACTTAGAGAAAGATTACTCAGAGTCCATGAATTGAAACTTTAAAATTAAATCTATTTGTACATGAACACAAACCTCTAGAAAAACTCAGAGGAAAGTTCCCGATGAGCTCAGTTAAAAAGGGCCCAGACAAAAATGAAAACGTTACAAAAATATTTTCCAATAAAATAATGGTAGGAATACTAAATCCCAGAATGCAATGAAGTCTGGGGCTAAGGGGTAATTTAACAAAAGAGCAGGATGAATACTGATGAATGAGATCACAGCTTGGAGAGGATGGTCTAACACGGTGGTTTTGCAACTTCAGCATACATCAGATTTCCTGGATGGCTTGTGAGAACACTGATTACTGTACCCCAGCACCCAGTAGGTCTGGGGTAGCGCCTAAAGTCTGCAATTTTAACAAGTTCCCAGATGATGCTAACACTGCTGGTCTGGGCAAAACTAATTGTTCCTATTTTGATTCTCTGTCAAGGAGAACTGTGAAGAGTACACCAAAAGAGACTGAAAGAAAACTAAACTAAAGGTAGGAAAATAGGAATCCAATGAATACTTAATTATTTTAAATAAACTCGGGCTTCTGGACCCCTGACAGATCATGTCCCATCTTGGAACACAGATGTGGAACCTGGCACCATGGCTAGTGATCTTTGAGAAATTATGGAGGCGGATGGAGCAAAGGAGAATGTTTTATCAATTTTCCAAAAACAGAAATGGTAGACTTAGAAATCCAAACACCAGTAAGATTGTTTCTTAGCAATATTTTGTTAGATATTAAACAAGAAAGAATGATTCCTAATACCCTATCCCCAGGCCCACTATGTGCTCCCAAGTTATGACAGTTATTCTGCTCTGCTAGTACCATATTCTACATTGAGTATTTTCAGTAAATTCAGAACTGAGAATATGGGGGCACCTGGGTGGCTCAGCTGGTTAGGCATCTGATTCTTGATTTTGGCTTAGGTCATGGTCTCATGGTTCATAAGTTTGAGCCCCACGTCTAGCTCTGTGCTGACAGTGCAGAGTCTGCTTGGGATTCTCTCTCCTTCTCTCTCTGCCCATCCCCTGCTTCTCATAAATAGCTAAATAAGCATTTAAAAAAAGAAATGAGAGTATGAACTTAGTCTCTCATATTCTTGTGATTATAACAACTCTGTAATCTCTGAGCCTGCATAGATGTTTAATGTTTATCAGTTGAGTCTGAAAAATATACTTAAAGGGAGTCAGTGTGGGGTAGGTGGGAGGTGCCCTACTGAACACAGCAGGGATCTATACTCTTCTCCCATCCAACTTTTTAATTGACAGTTTGAATAAACGTTCAGAAAATATTCTTATCAAACTTTCAATGGCCAAAAAATTTCAAATGGATAGAACGCTAATCTGAAACTAGCAAACAGAGATAAATGCAAGGCCAGATTTTTCTTCAAGGGAAAAAAACCCAGAGCCTTTATATAATCCTATACTGGTAAAGTTGTGACAACTACTATAAAAAGTCTTTGAGGTTTACATGACAAGTTGACAGTAGTAATATACCAGTTGCTATGAAATAATATGCAAATGTAGATAACATTAATATAAGCAAGGAGCCAACTATGATAAATGTTGAACAAGTGTGTACATTTGGGCACCATAATTTAAAAATTATTGACAAATTGGAGGCTATGTGGGGGACCATGCTTGCTGGTGAGGAATGCTATGAGGAATGAATGAGGAAACATGGTTTGTTTAGTCTGGAGAAAAAGGACTTGGATTGGACTAAATAGTATTTGCTTTTAAACATCCAGATATTTAGATGAAGTAGATATCCAGTCTTATTCTAGAGAGCAGCACTAAAGTCAATGAATACAAGGTAAAATAAGGTATGTTATATATCCCAATATAAACAACTGGAATTATCCAAAAAATTAAACAAATAGTTTCCTTTGAAACTCTTGAATCATCTACTCCTGGTGAGGGTTTAGCCACAGGCTGAGGATAGCCATCAGAGACCATGTCCATGGGACGGACCCTAGCGCTCTAAGGCAGAGACTGCTGCATGGTTTCTTCTGGGCCTTGCTAAGAATATAACAATAGCAGCAGTATGATCCACACAAACACACACAATGTATTTGATCCTTGCAACAACCCATATTTCACAGATGATAGAACTGAGGCACAAAGAGGCTAACCTGGCCTTACACCTGACAACCAGTAAGCAGTGGAATGGAAGTGTTAGGTCTCTAAGTCAATGCTTTTCTCCTGTTGCTGTGCTTCCTAATTCTTAGTTTCTCAATCCTCATTCGCCCTTCACCCCCCACCCCTTCCTCTCCACCACATTCTGCTACTGAAATGTTTCCCTTTGGAAGATTCTCTATTCATCCGCAGTAATATGTGGTATGTAAACTGCAGCATTTGCTTTAAAATAAAAATCATAAAAATGATTTAACATCCCTAATGATATTTTCAAAATCCAAATATTCTTACCTGATCGACAAGCAATGTCTACATCCTTTTCAAAGTCTGTCTGTAACAAGAAATAATAAGGTATAGAATCATCATTTGATGAAGACCTCAAGCGACTTTTACTAACTAGATTAACTGAAGTTACAGATATCCGACTAGGCAGCACTAGATTATTATTTTGTGCAAAAAAAAAATTCTCAAGGAATAATCAAATTGTGTTCAAGACTACTCCCTAGAGACCGAATGCTGAATAAAAGCAGTGGAAAAATGGCATACAATTTTAATAAAGCAATACAATACCCACTGTCATCTTCAGTCAGGAGACTGCACCATATACAAAAGGATAGAATTTCAAGGCAATTCCTTAAACCACAATAAAAAAAAGAATCGCACTATTACAAACATACTTAAATACATGTTTTTTGTATTCTCAAAGTATTCACTTTGAATATATTGTTTATAATATAGTATCTTATAGTACAGCTTTGTCAAACCCTAGTAGTCAAACTAGGCTCTTCTCATGATCCATTTTCATTCAAATCGACAAAAGACTTTTAGGTTTAGGAACTAAAATGGAAGATTAAACAATATTAAGCTGGTCTACAACCTGCTAGGGTTCAGTTTCATCTCCGTATTTTCTTAAAACTTTTATTTTAAATAAATCATGTACTTTTTTTAAATGGTAAAATTAAATTAGCCCATCTTAATCAAGCTCTTCTGGTCATATACTGGATGATATTATTTAGAATTTTTTTAATATTTTAAATTAGAAATTTCAATATTTGTTTTTAACACAGAATAGATTATTCCTTCTCAAGTCTTAGCTACTAGTATATAGCTTACACTATTTTATGTTGCCTAATCCCAAAACATTCATAATAAATTAAATATATTGTAAAAGAAATCTCCAAGCCCTGATTTTAACAAATCATAGTTTAAATCTTATTTCTAAAAGATACCAAAGTGCCGACGCCTAAAGTACCCCTTAATCTCAATAGTTGGAGCCCATGTATAATGACAGCCCTTTTAGTGGAATCGTGGCTATCCCTCTTCTATTTTAGGGCAGTGGTTCTAATCTTAGGCTGCATATTGGAACCACTGATATGTAGGTCCCACTCCAGAGATTCTGATTTCATTGATCTGGAGTGTGGATTCTAATACACAAACAAGGTCGAGAACCAGTGCTTTAAGACCAGAAGTGAAAGTCTACAGTATTCTGATCTGTAAACAAACATATTCCTGTGGACAAACTGTTATCCCTAATTTTGTGCATGGATGAGAGTACTCTGATGTTGCATGGAGACCCTATACTCAAGGCACCAAGGAGCCAATAACAGATCCTCTCCTCCTAAGCAATCCAGAGAGAATGGTTATCTGGTGTCTCTCAGTCTGTTAATGAACTAAAGCCAAAGTCACTCAAAATTTGTTTATGCCCTTCACAAATCATAACTTAATAAACCATCAGAAGAAAAATAAAAGCTCACCATTATTTGAGCATGCCCATTAGGAAAAGAACTTGAAGAATCAGCATTGATTGGATCCTGACAGTTTCTCAATCGGCATCTAAATGCATCCTGAACCTGTGGGGGTGAGGGAGAAACATCAATTTCCTTCTCTCTTGGCAATGACAAGATACTGTCTATATTGGCAATCAACTGAGAAAGCAGTTATCATTGTTTTATGATCTAATACCCATTTTGTTTACTTCTTAAAATGTATACTGGTATACCTGGACTTTATGCTAAGGAAATTGATCACTTGCCATAATCTATAGAGGGAAGCGCTGGGAAGTCCTCAGTTATCACAATGGCTGTGTCTCGCTGAACAGCAATTCTTGCCAGCGGGCAGATTTTATTTTCACTGTTACAAACAATGTGTGTGTCTTTCAAGGGGGATTTACTATTTGGTGTGGCATAATCTTCATAATAGCTTTAAACATTGTGAAAATGAGATTACTCAATGATCTTCAACTGGAATTGATTTGGGATTTTCCCATTATGTCTCATGTAAGGGATCCTACTGGGGAAATGATTTCTTATCTCCCTTCAAGTACTATATGCCCTGGTGTAAAAAGAAAACACAATGAAACAGAAAGATAACAAAAACACCTTGTCTCTGGTTGTTTAAGAAGAAGAAGAAGAAGAAGAAGAAGAAGAAGAAGAAGAAGATCACTTAGCAAAGCCAAACTTCCTTAACACCCATTCACAATTGGATTCTAAATCAAGAAACACATACCACAAGGAAATGTGAACATTAAATCCTTTATTAAACGAGTAAACATGAATGGATGAATAAGAAACACACAAATCAATTGAGAGTTATTCTGATCATATGATGCCTTTGCATCAACAGGTCTTTTTTCCACTTCCTGTGGCTCATTAGGCTCCTAACAAGCTATTGATAGACATTATCGCAGTTGCTTCTTATCCAAGTCAATGGCAAGGTCATTTTGTTCATATTTTGTTGTTTTGGCTTCACAGTATTGATATTCTCCCTCTAGTTTATTCTAATCTGTTTTGTTGGATTAAAAAACAAAGCAGAGATGATGTCACATATCCCGTGTGACAGTAGCGCCATCACACAGACGACGAAAGTGAACACATGATGATCTTTACTTTTGAGAAGCACTGGCATAAAATATCCTGTCACTGTTTTACTGTGAGGTGTGCATAGTATACATGTTGGCCAGAAGAAAACTGAGCCTATTAAGTTGTTTTCAGCAACTGAAAAGATTGTCATTACTGAAAGATTTGGAAAGTGACATAAATTTAGTCACCACTGCAGACTCCTGGCCAACCAGTATATATGATGAGACCTTGTCTACTTCTTTTTTTCCACCTTAGGTTCTAATCCTGGTGATGTAATCACTCTTGCCATGAATTTAGGGAGTGGAGGATGAACTCAGTGCTCTTCGACCTCTTTTCTATCCTATGATTCTGATATCTTTTAATCTGAGATTTACTGGAAAAAAAGGATGAGAAGTTCCCTGATATAATTGAGCAAGATAATTTCTTCTTTGGTCTTTAAAACACATTGGTATAAGCATAGGCTCAGTGAAATCTACTCTCATCATCTTTTCCTGAAGAATTGGATAAATATTGAGAACTAAGTCGTACAGCTTCTCCCTTGAAAGAGACATGACATGGACAAAGTTAGATTCTTTGGATGCAAATGCTTTCAGGATCCTCCTTTTTAGATTAAGAAGTAATATCTGTAGGTCCTAGAGTGACACACTAATAATAAAAAAATTGGTAATGTGTCTAGTGTTTGCCAGACGATCACTGTTTGCCACACAGAAATCTGCATTGGGAGAAAACACTAAGAAAGTATATTTGTCAGAAAAATAGGTACACGCTAATTTTCTGTTTGTGCCAAAGGCAACTGTTAAAGAAACACAATTTATAAAGGTAGATAAGTAATATGTTCAAAATATTGCCTTCCAGGAGCTTGTCACATGAAGATTTTTTTTTCAAATCTATTTCTAAATACTGGCATATATAACATATGAGAGTGGCACTTGGTAATACCAACAGTGATTGAACTGGTACCCACTAACCACTCTCTATTTTCAGACCTTCAGAGTGTAGCTGCCAAGGATATTTTTGTCTGACAATGAAATATGGAAAAGCAACTTCTGTAAGTTTCTCTTCAAAATCCACTATCTGATCGTGTGAAGGAGATACAGAAGAAATCTTACTCTTTTTCATAACATACACATACAAAATCAATACTTTAAATTCCCCAGTTCCCAAATATGACAATGGATTAAGGGCATTTCTACTCTGGAGAATGATGTCAGCTTTGTGAATCAGTCAATGCTATTCAGAAGAAATATAAAACAGAAAAACATAAAAATTCTCCAGTAAATTCAAAGTCATTTTAGTGATCATATAAATGCCGTAATTTAAGTGCTAGACTCTCTGACACTTTTAGGGCTTCAGTTACTTCTAATTCAGAAAGCTCTGCAGGAGAAATTCACCTCGATTCCAAATGCTCTGTTCGATTTTTACAAAATTTTAAAAGTGCATTCAGGCGATCTAGATGAATTAGCCTTAAATATTTGTCCAACACTGTCAGGGAAGAATGATTAGGCTAGATTTCATAATGCATATTCCATGTCACAGAAAAGGGTGTTTTAGGCAAGACAGTAGCTGGGAAATGTATCTGCAGCTATTTGGAAACGTTTTGATAATTAATTGAATTTTCCATCAAGTAAACAAAATGACTTTTATCTTTGGTGAATCAATGTGAATTGAACTGTTGGGGAACAACTGGAATTGTTTAAAAAGCAAGACCACAAGAAATAGTATTAATTCTAGATAAGAAGGAAGCACAAAAAACAAAGACAGAATCTCTATCAGCCTATTCCAACCTGATATTGAACTCTTCTGTGCCAACTGTCATATTTACAGTGCTGGACAATAACAGTCTTGGTGTTTCTTGGCTTGTGATTAAGACTGAAGAAAAAAAATTGTTAGAAGATTCATAGATTTATTATTTAAGCTCTTTCACCTAACTTATTACTTTTTGTTGGGAACAAGCCACTTATTTTAGGCAACAACTTAATTAAAAATTTTTATGTAACTCTCACATCTTGCAATGTTATCATTTTTTTTTTAAATATTTTTTTTAAATTTTTTTTTCAACGTTTATTTATTTTTGGGACAGAGAGAGACAGAGCATGAACGGGGGAGGGGCAGAGAGAGAGGGAGACACAGAATCGGAAACAGGCTCCAGGCTCCAAGCCATCAGCCCAGAGCCTGACGCGGGGCTCGAACTCACGGACGGCGAGATCGTGACCTGGTTGAAGTCGGACGCTTAACCGACTGCGCCACCCAGGCGCCCCTCATTTTTTAAACTTACATAAGACAAGTAAATATAATTTTTAAGTAAACTTGCCATGAGTAATTAAACACTTGCCTTATTCTGGCACAATTAAAATCTAGTCTCCAAAATGTCCTCTCTTTATAATACTCTGCAATGGGTCTTTCGCCATAAGTGACAGCCAGACAGAGGGTTAAAAAGTATCGGGGGAGTAGCAAAGAACAGGTATGTAAATAGCCTTGGAATATATAGGGCACTTTAAGGAAATCTGATGTCATGTTGTGGAATGAAAAAAGCATACCAAGAAACATCTTCAAAAACAAGATGAGGTAAAAAGAATATGCTATGGAGGCTGTCTTCTGAAAGTATCTACCAGAGGCACCACCAGAGTTGTCCCGGCTGGCTCCAGCTGGGGGCTGCTCTAAAAACTCCTGCAAAGCTATACGCCCATTTATTGTGGACGCATTCCTGGGTGAGACATGAATTCAAAGAAGTGTGCAGGGGTGTGTCTCACTTCCCTCGTCCCCCACAGGAGAGCGATCTGCTTCCTCTCAGGAGCAGCAAGCTGAGAGCCTCTCGGTTGGTCCTCACTCTGAAGGCAGTTGGCAGAGTGTCACTGTGAAAGCTGGTGCCAGATTTAGAGATTGCTGGGGAAGAGCACCGAGCGGTGGCTGGCAGCGTTGCAATTCAGAGAAGCCGCACAGGAAAGAGCTGCTCTGTTTGAAATGGGCTCTGTATTTAGCTACCAAGCAGCTCAGACCCCAAATCTCTACACCTTTTAAGAAGACAGTTTTACCTCCAGTTATTCCTCATTTCCTACTCCGGAGATCATTTTAAGACAAGAAAAGAAATTGAGTTACATTTTTATAATTATTTGAGTGTGGTAGCTTAGGGGAGGAGGGAGTTTTTATGTACTCTGTATTTTTTTTTCTGAATCTGATGTTTATTATTGATTCATATTAAACAAATGACTCAGCTCTTTTTAATCATATTAAATTCCATGTAATTTAATCATTAGATTAACCAATAAGGTTCTTCTCAATTTCATGTGTATTACGCCAACCAACTGCCATAAACAACACGAATGACTTCACGTTATGAAAGTATTACCTGACTTCTCTGAGAACAAAGGGAATAAAAAATGGTTTGTTGTTTGCTATACATAGAAGGAAAATAGGGACTTCAGTCCTAAATTTCAGTCCTGATGACTTCCTACTGTAATCTTTTAACAGCTAAAGGATCACTTACTCTCAAAACTAGATTTTTTAGCTTTTTTGGTATCAGTTTTCGGCACAGCACAAGCTTCCCTAGAGGGCAAGTCACATATGTGATCTGAAAAACGGAACAGCATTTCTTTGGCATGTGAATGAGAAGAGGGGGGAGGAAGCTGTGTGTCAGATCCAACACCCCCACCTTCACAGAAGATACTTTATTTGAGCCTCTTGCCATCCACTTTGAGGCAGGACCTAAAATCCTAATTCAGGACCTCCACACTTCCATTTATTTCAAGCCTCTATTCCAGACATACTTGACTTCCTGCCACCAGTTTAACAATGTTGCAGAGTTATGCTCCCCAGGGAAGTGGCAGGAGTGGGAAGTGGGATTTGCCTATCCACTTGGCCAGATACTCAGAAGAATTTTAGGTAAAGCAAGACATGGTTGGGTACCGCCTAGCAGACATGCCTGAGTTTGGCAATCTCTGCCATGAACTCTGTTTCAATTTGTTCACGGATGCCATTTTACTCATCTGATTTCG